CGATGTGAAGCTGTTCGATTGTTAAAAACATTTTAAGGAAAGTGTTGCTTTAAGTAAGCAATAAAATTAATGATGTTTTGAAAATCTCTTTGGGTCACTGCCAACTTTTCCTGCTCAGTAAGAGTGGTATTCCATGTTTTACTTCCATACAACAGAACTGGTCTTTCTCCTCTGAATATATGTAACTTAAAATACAGCTTTTTTTTAAAATTTATCACTTTAAAAGAAATTTTTGCTTATACGATTTGTTTAGGAAATTTCTGCTGTTTTCAGTGCGATTGAAGATCCGTTCGATAAATCAAAATTGCTGCGGCGTTATGCTCTTCGATATATGGTGTTGGATAATGTATTTCATGCCGTTGAGCTGGGTGTTAGGGATAGGATCATTCTTGTAAATAATACGTACATAACGCCCGGAGCTTTGCCCTGCATCATGCCTGGTGAAAGTGAAAGCACACAGATCATCAATAAAATGTAAATTGTTTGGTATATTTTTTGAATCATCTGTTTCAGATTTGATTAGTCGTGCCAGCTGTCTCGCTTTAAAATACAGTTATTATTATTATGGTTATTATTATCACTATTATTGTTGTTGTTATTATCATTATCATTATTACCGTTGTTATTGTTCCCAGCGAGCAGTGCAACACAACTAATGCCTGGCACGCGTTTCCAAAACTTTCAGTTAAGGCTTGATCTGAAATTCGGAAGAGTTGCTTTATTGTCTCATCTATTTCGCGGTCGGTGCAGCTGACAATTTCTCCATTTTGTTCGATTCTTGGGATACTGCTTTAAATTCATATACATGCTTAAGTAGATCTTTCTGTTTCGTCAAAAACCCCAATAGTTTTTGGTTTACTAACGCGTAAATTTCTTGCAGCAGTCCATTTTGTCTATCTGTTATTTCTCATTCATGCCACATGATTCGAAATAAAAGAATAATGTAAGGGACACTTTTACGAATCAAAGTCCAGAATCTCATAAATCCCTTCGTGCTTCATCCGGGATTAGTGCCATTAAGCTGCGAAAACAGTCAATTATGTGGTCTTTTTTTTTCAAATTCTGAACTTCAGGTTATATGGCGAGCGAAGCTTGCAAGTCATCAATGAATTAATTGCACCAATGATCGATATGAATTTTAGTGTTGGTAAAGTACCT